TGTCAAGGTTTACGTCCAAAAATTCCACATAAGACTCCAAAGTATTTAGTTAGATTAATAATGCAATGTTGGGATGCGAGGCCGTCTTGTCGACCCAGTGCTTTCGAAGGGCGTAAAATTATAAAAAGATGTATTGATTTGATCGAAAGTAATGAACCTTCGGATTTTAAAGAACAAGTTAAAGATTACGAAAGTAAAGCTTCGAAAGAATCACAAGCTAGCAAATTCTCGGGACTTAATTATAAAACGCACCCAAATGCTATCTATACTAGTAGACTTTTGAATTTTTCTAACTTATCACAACCAACTAATGCCCCTGATTATGAGAAAGAACTTGAAATGTTGTCGGATGACTATGCAGGTGAATATACTATAAATAGTATAGCGTCATTACATTTCTAGGTTTTTATTAAACGAATTCATGCTTTTAAAACTCGTCACAGACTCAAGTTTAGTTGGCCTGAAAATTCGGAATTTTTAGGTATTTTTCGAAAATTGGTTTTTAACCGTAATTAATACAGTAGCCTTAACTTATTTATTCATTAACTACAATTAAATATTTTAGAAAAACACTTCGTTCACAATATTTAATATAAATTGAATTGCAATTAGTAGTATTAATGTTCTTTTTATGCCGTCTTCTAATAATCACTAATTATACAAAATAATTAAAAACTTACGACTTTGATATAAATTTTTAAATATAAATTTTTAAATAATTGCTGTATTAAGGAAATATTAGAGTAGAATAAAACAACAAGTTAAAAATTAGGAAATTTAAAAGTACGGAGGCTACATTCAAAACATACTGTATTTTGAAAAGGTTAAATACTTTCTTTAAAGGTTAAAATTTTTTTAATCAAGTTTTTGCTTCTCCCATTTTATAATGTACAGTACAAGTCATAAATTTTTGAAATTAACTTTTTTTATATGATCTCATTAAAAATTATTTATATATTATAAAAATTTATAAAAATTTTTTTTGAAAACCTATAGTTTAAAAATTATTTAATACCATTTTTAAAATTTTGCGTTGTTTTTATTTATATGTTTCTATTAAAAATTTAAATAAGATTTTAAAATTTATTATTTATGATTTAATATAAAAATTTAATATTTGAATTTGGTTGCTTTACTGCATGGAATTTATTTATTTATTTATTATTATTATATAAATTTAATTGAAAAATATTTTATTAAGAAATAAAAATATATTTATAATATTTAAAATAATTGCTCTAATTATATTTAAAAAACTCTTAATATGAAATATAATATTAAAAACATAACTCTAATTAAAAAATTAAAAAATATAAAAATATTTTTATATAAATATTTTTTAAATAAAAAATTAAGTTTATTAATAAAAGTAAGCAATAAAATTATATTAAAATATTTATTAATAATTATTTTAATTATAAAAGATATTTGTTTCAAAATAATAATATTTTGATTTAATATTGTCAAAAATATTTAACAATAAGTTTTAAAAAATAGAATTAAAATTTTATTTAATGACAAGTCAATTTTCTAATTTTTAATTCAATTGAAAATTTTTAATTTGAATTAAAGAATAAATCAAAAATAAATTAAAAAACATAAAAAAATTTTAAAAATCAAAATTTATATTACAAAAAAATTAAAATTAAAATTAAAGAACAATGAATTATATAAAAAGATAAATTATATAAAAAATATATCATATATTATTAAAGACAAAAAATATAACATATTATTACAATAAAATCATAACAAATCAATTGTTTCAATTTGTCTTATACTTGTGACTTGACCTTAGTATTATGTAACTAATGAAATTGCTACATATATAATGATTATTTAGAACACAAGATTGATGTACTAATCTATATTGATGTTATAAACTCTGGCCAAATTTATATACTTCTTTTGAATAAAAACTTTTTTGATTATTATATAGTAAGAATCCTAACAATTTAATTTGGTTTGTTTTGTTTTTTAAACATAAAATTAAAAATTTTTTTGCTTAAAATTATATATAATTGTTTATAATAATTTTAAAAATAAATTTTTATTATTAAAATTTTATTGTTATTTTATTTTTAAATTTAAAAAATTATTAAAATTTTTTTATAAAATTATAAATTATATATAAATTAAAAAATTTTTAAAAATTTATAAGTTCTATTGTAATATTTTTATTTTAATTAAATAAATAATTACCAAATTGTTAATAAAAATAAAATTTGATTTTTTTTCTTTCTATTGATTTCATCGTATATAACAAATTTTTATTTATAAATAACTTTTTTTTTAATTTTAAAATTATAAATTTTGAATTATAATATTCAAATTTATTATTATTCATATTATAGAATATCTTTTATATATAGATTGAATTATTATATAAACATAAATCAATAAAATATAAAATATATATTTATAGCAAACTATTATAAACTTATTTTTTTATTAAAAAAACAGTATTTAATAAATAAACAAATCTTTTTTATTAACGATATATCAAAAATTTAAATAACTCAACTCTGATAATATTTTTATTCATACTGTGTTAAATAATAGACCCGTCATTGAATGACAGATATAATTAATTTTATTTAAGTAACTTGTTATTTTATATTGGTAATCGATGATACAGTTAGACTTACGGTTATTTACAGTTAACAAAGAACATGTGCTACCTGCGCCACGAATAGATTGATTGTTGACACTCAATTTTATAACATATAGATTATATTTATTTATTATTTGAACTTACCGATACAGCATTTTAATATTTAAATTTAGTTGTCGATTAATTAATTTATTTGTTTAGATATAATTGTTTAAGTTATTAAATTATTTTAAAAAAAAATTTTTTTTTTGATTATTTATATTTACTATATTAAGGTTATCGAGTTATTGATTTTATTTATTTAATACTAGTATTTAAATTTAATTAATTTTATTACAGTGTTAATATTCCCTTATACCGGGTGACCTAATCCAAAAGCTTACTACTGTATATTAGCATTATTACTTTTTTCCGATAACAAAAAATTATTGGTGCGTACAAAATAATTTCAATCTGCACAACCGTTGCACAAGTAACGCCTTCCATGTCATTTAGAAATGGTGGTAAATCTCTGCTGTACACCTCACATTCATTTTTTTCCTTATTCTATTAAATTCTATATACTGTACCAAGCAGAAAATTTTAATGAAAGCCAGCTAAAATGGATTGTAAAATTGTCGTTCTTGGAGCGGGTGGTGTTGGAAAGGTAACATAAATCTGTCCTTTTTTCTTGTTTTATCAAATAACAAATGTGCGTATTTCTCTCTAGACTGCTCTAGTAATTCAGGTAGTAGGCTATGGTACATTTTTATTTTACATAACTATTTTCCTGATTATCTATTCTTAAAACTTGGATTTAGTTTTGTCTACATCATTTTGTTGGTATGTTCTTCAAGCCGAAACTTTCTTTATGATTTCTATACAATAAAACTAAATGAAATTGTCTTTAATGATCTCGAATATAGAGGTAAATGTATATTTGACCACCTCCACCTATCAATATTATCATTAAATTGCTTCACTTTTTAGACATATGATCCAACAATTGAAGACTTATATCGGGGACGAGCAGTAATTGATAATCAACCATGTGTTCTAGAAGTACTGGATACTGCAGGACAACGTGAGATTTTGATACTTGTTTATAGCAAAATTAATGCTTTCGTTTTGAATTGGACTAATTAATTTTTTTTTTAAAAAAAAAAAAGGTGAATATAATGCACTCCGTGATCGCTGGATCAGGTAGGGAATTTGATACAAATGGAATTCAAAGATATAATATGATAAACACTAAAATTATTAAATCTGATTTTTAAAATTAATATAGTGGTGGTGAAGCTTTTATTATTGTCTATTCTATCTCTTCTCGTTCAACATTTGAAAGAGTTAAAGAATTTCGAGACCAAATACTACATGTCAAAAACTCTGACAAAGTACCAATTATACTTGTTGGTAATAAAAGTGATAAAGAATATGAGCGAGAAGTTACAAGAGAAGAAGGAATATATATGGGAAGGGAATTGGGTTGTGAGTTCATTGAGACTTCAGCAAAAAAGTGTATAAACGTGGACAAATCATTTCACACAGTTGTTCGAACGTTGATAAGGATGAGAAGTGGAAGAGAAAATAAAAAAACAGTGTCGCCAAAAAAGGATAGAATAAAATTCTTTAAAACATCTAAAGATCCTATTCATCTTTATGATTATAAATCTTTTAGTAATTCAGTGGTTATTGATGATGGAGCATTTGGAACGATTTCTCGTGCATTTTCAAGAAAACATAACAAACTTGTGGTGTTGAAATCCGTTGATTTAAAACATTTTACTCTTGAGCAACTTGATAACGAGGTAAATACAGATAATATTTTAATAAGGAAAATTACTTATTCGCAAATAAAGTAACTACGATTATTTTCTTGAAAGTTGAAATTACATTTCAAGGCAAAACTTCATGATAATATATTAGGATTTTACGGTATAACAAAAGAAGGTATGTTCGATTTTCAATATTTTAAAAACTGTTATTGATTTATAGTATATTGATAAAACGTATTGGTTTCTTCGTTAAAAAAATTAAAGAGATGATAAAAGAAAATTATATGCTAGTATTAGAGTATGCAAATGAGGGTAATCTACGTAATTACTTAAAATCAAATTTTAAAAGAATGGACTGGAATATTAAATTGAAGTTTTCAAAACAAATTGTAAGTGCCTTGATGCATTTACATAGTAACGACATAGTACATAGAGATCTGGTATGTTTATTTTTAAATTTTATTCCCATTTAATAATAATTACTAACATTAATATTATAAATAGCATTCTAAAAATATTCTCATTCATAATGGGAATATTAAAATTTGTGACTTTGGAACCGCAAAATCTATATTTGATCCTACAATAGAAGCTTCCAAAACCATAGGTACAATATTATATTCAGACCCAGAATATCTAAAGGATCCTAATAAATATAGTCGCGATAAAAAATCCGATATTTATAGTATTGGAGTACTATTATGGGAAATTTCAAGTGGCCGCAAACCATTCATAGATAAATCGGAAGAATTACGTATTTTATTATTTAATATAATTTTTGGCGCAAGAGAAACAATAGTAAAAGGAACTCCAATAAAATATGCAGAAATATATAAAGGTAATAATGTTGTTGCGTTATTAATATCATTTATATACTGTATATACTGTATATTGATTTTTTTGTTTTTTGTCATAAAGCATGCTGGAAAGAAAATCCAAATCTTCGTCCCGACATTACTCAAGTTATGAAAGATTTAAATAATTTAGATTTAAATGATACTATCGAAGATATAGACAAATATTATAATGAAAACGGGGGAAATAACCAATTTGATTTTAATTTAACCGGACAAAATAATAATGTATTACAAAGTGATGATTTATCAAGCTCAAAGGATATTTCAAGCTTAATACTAGAGAGAATTAATAGTTTAGAAAGGCAGTTAGGTAACTTTGGTGATCCTAAATCAAATCAAGATGATGAAAATATAAGTTATAAGAATGGGGATACTAAATCAAATCAAGATTATGAGAATATAAGTTATAAGAAAAGTCGGTGTAAATGTGTGGTACTTTAGATGAGTTTTGATGTCATCGTATTAGATAGTTTCAAGAAAAAATTCTCATTACAAGTTTTAATGTATTTAACCTATTTAACCTTATCTATAACATATATATTCAAATAAATGCACCATATTCTCATACACAGATTTCCTTGTTTTTTGGCCTCGAATTGTGAAGATTTAAGCCTGACCCGTTGTATAAAATCATTAATCATACAAATTCTTTAGCGTAACGATATCTCTTCCTGAATAGCCTCAATCAAAATGCATAATCAATTATCGAAAAACTTGTAAACGAAGAATAATAATACTATTAGTCTTATTCACGGGATTTTTTAGAGTGTTCAAAGGAATCATTAGATGTAATATCATAATATGTAGTAGCAAAGCATGGGCCATTGGCTTATTCGTGTAGAACCTTCTTTTCTTTGTTTATCCCCATCTCATTATTTCCCTTGTTCGAATCTAGAAATTTACTACTTTTCCATGTTTTTGATTTTTTTTTGTAGTTTGTTGGTTAAATATTTTATAAATTCCCCAACTCTATCCTGTTGAGCAATTAACTGTTCATCGTCACCTACAATCTAGCAACTTCTTCCAAGTTAGCTCCATTAGGTTCGAATAGTGAATTGGGTTCGTTACACAAAGAACATATTTCGGGTTGTGCTTGAGAAATATTGTTAATCTTTATAATAATAATGATATAAATATGTATGTGTAATTATTTTGATTTTTAAATATTTAAATATCTAATGATCATAATATTTGTGATAAGAATAGAGATTATGAATTTAATTATAATAATAGGTAGAGTTAAAATAGTTAAAACTATTACTAGAAAATTATTAATTTAGAATGATAACTAGGAAATAAAATCACTAAGTTCGAAGCTAATAACGTCACATGTTAAAATGAATCACGCGCACGGACAAATATGATGTGTCTATGCTAATGCTTCCGACAATAATGAGTTTAATTAAATAAAGTCTTGTATAAATATAATAAACACTATAAATTAGAACTCATATTATAACAATCATTACTATTTAAGTATTCTAATTTCCAATTCTATCTCTTATATTATTCATTTTCTTTTTTTATAATATTAATTCTATGCATCATTTTTTATTATTCTATAAATATTACAAATTTAAAATTTGAATTAATAATGATTATCCAATACATTAATATTTTATTTAAATTTGTTGGTTTTTTAAAAATATTTAATAAATTACATTTTTTAATATATTCAATTTTAATATTTAATAATTTTAATAAAACTTCATATAAAAAAAAACCAAATAATTAAATTTAAAAAAAATTAGCTGATGTTATTAATTTTATATTACGTAAAGGTTTGATTCGTAAAAATTTTTTCTTTTAATTAAATAAATATAAATTTTAATATTACTCATAAATAATATATGTGGTATATATAAGATTAAGAAAAAATTTATTTATAAAACTAAATAATAAAATGTTTATGAATTAAAAAAAAAAAGAAATTTATTATTTATACTTATTTTTTAAAAATTCAAAAAAATTGGTATTTAAAAATATATTACCATAATTATATGTCTAAAAATATTTATTTTTCGATAAAAATAATATAATTTATATTGTATGAAGTATGTAATTTCCAAATTATTATTATTATATTTGATTTAATTAAATATAATATTATAATATGAAAAAAAGCAATGAAAATAATTTTGAAACAATCTTAGACATATTGAAAACAAATCACTTTTGTAATAACAAATTTATCTTTATTTCTATAGTATATTTTAAGTTTTGAATAAACATTAATTATTGATATAAATAATATTAATTCACTTCTATATTATATAGTTGATGTTACTAATTATATTGCTATAGGCTACAATTAATTTATACTTTTTGTATAGATTTTTAATATAATAATTATAAAGTTCAGTTTAATAAAATCACATCTAATATTTATTTGCAAATAAATATTGTTATGGAGAAATAGCAATCAATTATATGGCTTAGAAATTGAGAAATGACAATTACATATTATAAAGATTACCAAAATGGACAACCAACTCTTAACCTTGTTATTTATTTTATTTCAAATATATTTTTTAGTTTTTTTATTTCAAATATTTCATTATTTTCTTTGTTATAGAAAAAAGTATAAAAATAATTTAAGAAAATTTAATAAAGAAGAAGAATGAAAAAATTAGTTAATATTTGCTAATTAAAAATAGCCATACTTATTGTACTGTTCTGATTAATAAAACTTCTTCAAATTATACAAACTCATCAAATATATGCTTCTTTCTGCCTTTATACATTTCTGTTATATCAGATACTCTTGTCAAAGCATTACAAAGTCAAGAATTTGCAATTTCTATTGATAAGTTTCTAACCTGTAACAATATATATAGTATTTCAAAAAACATATTTATTTATGCTATAATTATAATAATAATTACAATTTATAATCTGCAAATCAATAATACAATAAATATATTTTCAGATTTTAAATATATTTTTTTAATTTAATATTTACAAAAGGCAAAAAATATATAAATTTTCTTTAATATAAATTTATTAATTTTTTTTTAAATATACAATATTATATTCAAATATCTGAAATATATTTAAATTTATTTTTAATTAATTAATTGAGTTCCAATTGTCCTATTTAATAAATCAGATCTCTTTTTAAAATAATTAAATTATATAAAATAAAATTTTTGACTTTTAATAATTATAAAGTTGAAAAAATTATATAAATATATATAAAGAAAACTTCTAATATGATTATAAAAAAAAATAATTCTATTATATTAAAATTAATCTGACAGAATTTAAAAAAATAAAATATTTTAATTTAATTTAATCTGAAACATGCTTAAAATAGAATTACAAATAGTAAAAAAATAAATATATTCTTTAAAACTTTAAATAAAAAGTATTAGAATATCTAAATATTTTGTTTATTTTGAGAAATAGTTAATTTTCTTAAAATAAATAATTAAAACTAAATTATTAAGTTATAATAGTTAAAACTAATAGTAACTTTTTTATATTTTTGCAAGTAATTATATTGATATACTTTTTTTAACATATATATATTATATAATTAAATATATCAAAAAATAGATATCAGTTAATTTTAAAAAACTATTCATACAATAAAAATTATATATGTATTGTATATTAGTTTTTTAAAAAAACAATTAATTTATTAATTACAATATATAATTAGAATTTACAAAATAAATTATAATGATATAAATCAATTTTATATTGAAAAGCTATATATTTGACTCATTGGATTTACAATATACAAATTTTAATAATATAAATAATACAAATTTCTAATTATAAAGCTAAAATAATATTAAAAATTTTGACAACTTTTTTAAGTAATTTACTGTATATTTAAAAGTTAATTAATAAACTATTCGATATTAAAACAAAAAAATAGTTTTCAAGATCAAAAATAAGGTTATAAAATATTTTTAATAAGTAAAAGTAAGTAAAAGTAAGTTAATACTCTTATTTTTATTTAAACTTCTAGAATACATGTTTAAAAAAAGATTTTATCAAAATTCTTGTTTGAGATATTATAAAAAATAACACCTTATTTGAAAAAATAAACAAAATAGCAGATGGTTGGCTTCTTTTACTTTTAATATTATAATAGAATATTTTTGTTTTAATTTATTACAAAAATAATTATACATATAAGAAACTAAATATTCTATAATTAATAAAGTTTTTTTTATTACTAAGAAAACAAATTAGAAGCAAACAAGAAACCCATTTTATAAAATTTGATAAATGTAATAGTAACGCTATATATGTGATCAGCCAATATTACAACTCTCAATATATATCAAGAACTGAAAAATAGTATAATATTGAATATTCTTGACATTATACTGATTAATGAAATAAAAGAATCTTGACTATGCTTTTCAATTGAAAAATCCAACATAAGCAAAAAAATTACTTATCTGGATTCAGATATCAATAATAGACAAATTTCCTTTTTTGTTAAAGAATAAGAATAGAAATGTTAATGTACTTCTGCTTAATCAATTTTTTAAGTTATTATATGGGTAATTATTTTTGAAGGCGACAAAAATGCTAGATATGATTTTTTCGGACCCAACTTTTAAACAATGCATATATAGTATAAATTTTAGGATCACGCCATAAAATTTTCGGTCTGCCTTCGAAAATAGTTACCCATATAATTACTTTATTTATATTAAGAAATATCTAAACGTTAGTTATTTATTCGTGGTAATATACACCAGATGGTTTTTCGTACTGCGCCACGAACGAGAGGTTAGGAATAAAACAAAACAATGTCCATATTTTTTTTGTACCTAATATGGTTTATTAACCATTTATTTACACTGTTTTTCTAGCCCCTCGTAAGGAATAGAGAAATAATCTTTATATTGGCGTAGAAGATTAATTGCCTTGTAAGTTATTTTAATTAGTAAAGATATTTAGGGTTCAACAAAAGTCGGATAAATAATACCATTCTCGCATTTTTAAAACCTATTATTCGAAAGAATTATTATTTTGGTTAAACTAGCATTTAAGCTGATCAACGTAAATGACTAATAAATTGCGATGTAAGTATGGATCGATAGCTATAAAAATCAGTGAAGCTTTGGTATAATCATGAAAATTTTTTTGCTATCTTCTCTTGCACTCGCATTGCATACAAAAAGCAAAAAATAAATCTTGCCACATTTTACCAGCCCCTTAGCATAATAGCAAAGATACATAAAATCAATTCTACAAACAAAAAATATCCTTAATCTATATATTAATATACGAAAAAAATTATCTAGCAAGGATTATTTTTTCGCAACTTTACTAGATGACTGTTTTGTTTGGGTAATTTCATTAATCTTTCTTTTCAAAATTTGAATAGAGTCATTATCGTATTCCGCTGTCACATTATTATTCACTTCGGTTCTAATAATCATCTACAAAACAATTAAATTAAAATGGATCGATCAAAAGACAGTCATAAAGTTATAAAGTGGAACTTACCATAAATTCTAATATCTTATTATACCCGCCTTCATATCTGAAATCAGATTCAGTCTAGAAGCAACGTTTAATCTCCCGTATTCATCATAGATGTATACACCATCTTTCCACATTATTAGCATTTTAATTTCAAAAAGATAGCCTAATACGCCAAAAACCATCCGATTATTACAATTCATGTCACCCTTCCTCTTAGCCTGTAAGATTCGAAAATTTAAACAGTCCCTCATTTCTCGATATAACTTGAAAGATTCTGTTGCCAATTTTGTTAAATCATTCTTGGAAGGTGGTCCGGCTTGTTCCCCAACAAATATTTCTTCACCCGTTTTCTCTATCCAAGCTAATAAATCCGCAGATTTACCATCAATCATTTTATCATTGATGTGTTTATGCCCATAATTTTTTCTATATTTTGAGGCGTGCACCGGAACTTCCATGCTAAATAAACAAATATAATATAATATAATCAATAATGATATAATAACAAAACAGTTAACCTTTATACTTACGCCCTCCAATCAAGACCTACGAATTCTTGTAATGCTCTAGAAAAAAAACGATGTCCAAATTCAGCCCAATAATGGTGCTCACTGGTGTTTGATGCACTAATATCAGGCACTGGTTTCGCAAATGATTCAACCCTACAAATATAAGATGTTAGAAACAATGTGCATTAATAACAATATAAACCCTTAACACTTACAATGGAATCATCACTCGATATAAGTACTTCTTAATTTTTACTACATCTTCACTATCATTCTTATTTAAAATATTTAAATTCTTTGTAATGTTAATCCAATCGGATAAACTTTTTATTGTTCCATCATCCGTTGTTTCCTTATAACATAATAAAATTAATAATTGATATGAATATCAAATACGAACTATAGGATATAATTACATTAAAATACTCTTCAATAATATTCCGCCATAGTTCTGGTACTCAACCTTCCTCTTTGGATTTTTCAATCGTAATTTTATATAATCATCAACTGACAAAAATTTCGAAAACCCGCTTTCTCCTCGAATATCCATTACGTCATCATTTGTGCATCTATTAAGGAGATATTAGGTACAAATTACCCATATGTTCTGAGCAATTAAATTACTTACGAAAACGGATCTTTTTGCGATTCCTTATATTTTATAAAATGTGGGATAAAATCTCCAAAATACTGTTCTATGTAAATTATTGAGTATTCATTATTGTATACATTAATCTTCAAATAAATACCTTAGACTCATCAAGTTGTGCCAAACTTTGGGCTGATATTCCTAAAATATTTTCGTCAATTGATATTTCTTTAATATATTTATTGCTTGTAATTTGGTGGGGGATTTGATGGCCATCTGCACGGCAAATAATAATTTCAACAATCTTGTTTAAATAAACACAAGTCAAAAGGAATATTACCATCGAATGCAATGCTTTTTCTAACCAACTCATCATAATCAACAATATCTGGTGACGGTCCTTTCTGAACGGCATTTATTCCTTTCCCATCAACCGTTGTAGATTCTTCGTTTTGTAGATTAGGCCTATTACTTGCAAGATGATTTTCCTGGTTTTTTGATAATTGATTTCCAATAATCTCGTGTTCGTTTTCATACATGGAGTAAGTATTTATACGACGTTTGACTGTAATTCGTTCCTATGACATGTTGATACACGTTAATAATAAAGAAATTGATATGAGCTACACTCAATTCTTTTAACATACCACACATCTCATTTCAATAATACTATTCCAATCAGGTGCGTCAATGTTAATCTTTATATTTAAAAATTTCAAGACAATTAGTAACAGATCTCTCTAGCAACTAAGTAACTAAGAATTAATAAAGATGTCACATGAAGTTACAATTATCGCAATGATGGGGTTGAGGACGAGACCTAACTACCCACAGATCCAGGGCGAAACCTGACTGGAGCTTCCCACATCATCACTCTGGCGAGGGCGAAACCTAACAACCCACAGTACAGGGCGA